TCTATATCAGAGACACATTCAGACATAGAAAGAGCTGCTCTAGCAAGATCATGAGCCGCTTTATTTGCTGATCTTTTACACCATTGGACAAGGATATATGTTTCTTCACTTAACAAGAATTTAATATCTTCAAGGATCACTCCCACTTGTGACAATTTTGCCTCTCCTTTTAAACCAGACAGAATCAAAGCAACATCAGTTTCTATCACAACATTATTCCATCTATTATTCCTAGCCCATATAATAGCTTCCCTGACCCCCAAAGCTTCAACTTCCAAAGGGGTCCAAATGTCCTTTAAAACATGTCTTCTAGCGCGAATGAACACTCCATCACTGTCCCTACAAATCCACCCACATGCCCATTTTTTACTTCGGACATTACACGTAGCATCTACATTAATTTTTAGGTAATTTACCTCCAATTTTTTCCATTTCTTCTCTTCATTGATAACTTCCATGGCAGCCAACATGGTGGTCGGCATTTGAACCGCCCTCCAGCTTGTGAGTGCACTGATAGCCCCCCGTTGCACCTCCTTTATTGAAAAAGAGTCTCCTCTCCACACCACCCCATTTCTACTCTTCCATATGCTCCATAGTATTGTGATCAACCTCCAAATGTCATCCTCGGCTAAGGTAGAAAAACATTTACACAAACACAAACTTACTGTTTCTTCCTCCAATAAGTGTGCCCAACCAGCCCTCTCCCAAATTGCCTGAACAGCCGGACATTTAAAGAATAAATGATGGGTTGATTCTTCCTCCATCCTACATAAGGGGCAATATGGTTGCACTTGTACATGCCTACGTTTTAACAAATCAGCTGTTGGTAATACTCCAGACCCAAGCTGCCAGAAAAAGACTTTGACTTTCGGAGGTAAATGAAGTTTCCAACCAGCCGTCCAACCCTCCCAGTTCGCTGTTTGAAAATCCCCAACCAGCCTTTTATAACAGCTTCGGACCGTAAATCTTCCTTTTGGATCGTCATTCCACCTGAAACCGTCTGGAATCTGCCTCAAACTAATTAGGATACTCAAAATTGTTGTTGCCTCTTCCTCTATAAATAGTTCTCTAACTCGCTGGACATTCCATGCTTTTCCATTTTCATCTAAAAGGACTGCCACGTTCATGTCGGAAATACTTGCAGGCCTATCTGAGAGGACTCTCCCAGTCTCCCTCGGATCCAAGCATCCTTCCATACAAAAATCTATTGCCCATTTCCCACCCTTCTCCTCATTCCCTTCAAGACAACTTCTTGCGCCGCTAATATACTCCGCCAAATAAAGGAGGGATTATATCCCATCTTTGCCTCGCTAAAATGCTAAATGAAGTCTCGAGGTAATATATAGCTTGCAACACCCTACTAACTAATGATCTCGGTTCCGTCAATAATTTCCACCCAAGTTTGCCCAACATAGCAATATTAAACTCCTTTAAACGTCTAAAACCCAATCCCCCAAACTCATTCGGCATACACAATGCCTTCCAGTTTTTCCATCTGATTCCTTTGCCCGAGAAGTCGTTTCCTCTCCACCAAGTTAGGGTTTGTTTTGGTGCCGACTTCCGAATTCGGCGTTCTGGTCCACTTTGATGCCTCCGATGTTCGATGGTGGTTGGAGTTTCTTGGCGAGGCGATGTCATACAGGTTAGGGGAGATTTGCTTTGATGGAGGGCAGTGGTTGTCATGGTGTGACGCTGCAGCATACCGGAAAAGAATAGTACACAAAGCTTGAATGGCAGAGCATCTGGCCGCTGGGTTTGGCTACATATGACGGCAAGATGAGATTCAATTTGAATCATCTAGGCATCTTGATTGTGAATAAGGGAGGACATCTAAAAAAACAGATGGGTATGTAGTGTTTGCAATCGAGCAAAATCGCATGAGGATTGTTAAGGGAAGTAGAAACCAGTGCACATTGATATGGAGATCGAGCCAAGGGTGCCAAAAAATGGGAAGGAGGCGAGCTGCAATGTTGTAGTTCACCTATCACATAGCTGAAGATCGGTCATGAAGACCAGGAGGTGATGAAAGCGAAAGAGTTACATCAGTTGAACTTTATTTACTTATGTTATTTTCAATTTAGACTGCTTTCAATTTTCTATTCTATTTTTATTATGTCAAACAATAAGGGTGGTTGGCTAGTGTTTTGGTTTATTTTAGTAGATAGATTTCTGTTGGGAGGCAATCGGGCTCACTTAGTCGCTAATAGCTTCGAAGCTCTCACATTTTCAACAATTAATCTCGCTCTTTTTGGACTATTCTATGTCTGATATAGGAGTGAAGGGGCCTGTGGGCTTTTGATCATTGTGGGTTAGAGGGAGATTAAGGTTTCTGGATACTGCTGGTTGTTTGGATTATTTCATATTAATATAAGCTTTTTCCTCTCAGAAATAAATAAAGACTTGCACCTTTTCAATTCTTCAATTTGTTTATACAACTCGAGGTCTTCATCACTTGGGTCTTTGTAAAAGTTGAACTCCTCTGCTCTTAGCCAATCATTAGTGCACACTAATGCCTCCATCATTTTAGGACTCAAACAACTTCTAAAGTGATCCGCAACTCATTTTCCCCAAACTAAATGTGGGCTCAGTAGCAACCGTAGAATTTGGAATTGCAAAGACATCATTGGCAATAATTGAAAGAATTGGATACATAGTTTCAATTCCTTTCCACAAGTCCAAAAGATTGAAGATGGATTAGATCTTTTTTCAATCTCATCACTTATGTACTTTTCAACCTCATTCGATATCTCTTGAAGTTTCTCTTCTTCATTTTCTGCCTCCACATCATTGAACAATTCATTCCAAAGACCATCACCTCCACTACTATCTCCATCATCCAATTGCACTTCCAAGCTTTGTCTCTCCACATTCAATGTCTCGATCACTCATTCTTTTGTACTCCATCCACAAAGCTATCAAATCTTTCTTAACTTTCTCAAAGCTATCAAAGCACTTTGGATCTTTTTAATGCTCACTTTAATCATTTGGAATTTGTTTCGAGGGTCTAAGACATTGCTAATGAAAACCAATGGGTTCTTGTCATTTCAATTCCCCCAATATTTGTCAAATTTAACTTCATTGCGATAGCCACCTTGCTTAGAATTGGATCCGAGTTGTCACTCACCTTTTTTCAACCTCATGTTGGAGGGCAATTATTGATTGATACCTCAATTGAGAGGTAAAAGTTTTTGTGGCACTTAACTCTAATGTAGCATCATAAAACTTTTTCAAAAAGCACACAAAAGTTCATGCATTCTCCCAATTTAAAGCACTTAGTGGTCCTATCCTTTCTTCACCCTTTTTATTCTTCTCATGAAAGTATCTCACAAAAGGACACCACTATTCAGTCATCCTTTCAAACACAATTCTATATTTCAAAGCAACATCAAGCATTTTATAAGTGGCATTCCACCTTGTTTTGACATCTATTTGTATTGTTGACATAATAGAAAACTTGGCTAGCACGACAAACTCCCTAAACTTACTCAACCTAGCTGGTGAATAATGAAGAAAAATAACCGCGTTCTCTATAGCTTTAATCTAAGACTCAAGTTCCTTTAGCCCATCCTTGAAAATTAAGTTAAGGATGTGACATGCACATCTCAAGTGCAAGAACTTGCCTTCAAACATCAATGTGTTCTCACTTTTGAATCTTTTTTCTCGAGTAATCAATTGATGTGTCCTTCGAAAAAGCATTATCGACTACTATAGAAAATACTTTGTCTATCCCCCACTCTCCTAAACAAATCTCAACCGCCTTGCCAATTTCTTCCCTAACATGACTAATGATGTTTGTAAAATTGATTATCCGATCTGTTGTGCAACTTCCACTCACTATATAAAAAATGAGTTGTGACAACAATATAATTAATGTTCTGAATTGATGTCCAAGTATCGGTAATGTTATTTCATCAATAACTACAAACTCGGTAAGTTTCAACTCACACCACTTTTGATTAAAAGTATGAGGAATCAATGCATTTACATGTCCCATCATCTCATTCGTGAGCACATATTGACTTTTGTCACTCTCCTTCATATAAAGGACTTGTTTTGCATCTCTTCACTAAGTAATTTTTTAAACCACTCGTACTTCCCTAGTTCCCCGGACAGCTGGAATCTCAGTCTTAGAGTGATTGCATATTCCAATATTGAGTGCTCCCATCCACCAACGACCTTAAACCTTTAGCACAATGTTGCCAAAAAATACTCATCGTTTTAGGTGCTACAAGAGGTTTTTGTGTTAAAAATTCACTTGATCGCTTCCGACTAGAATTGTCGTTCTCTGTTTCATATTCAAGGGTAGCCAGTGATTCAGCTGAACTTCTCGCAATAAGTGAGATGATTCAGATTCCATTAATAATGCTAAAATTTAAATTCAACTAATACCATGTCAATAAATTCTGAAAAATTACCCCTGCTTATCTCTATAAATGTCTCTCCCTCTTATCAAAATCAATTGATGTTATCAACTTCATATAGTCACAGAGTGTGTGGCAACTAATAGTTTAAGACATGCATACAAAAATAAAGATATGACGACTTGAATGTTTGCTAGGTCACAAGAATCATCATACAAAAACTAAAATTTGCATAAAACATTATGCAAATTATAAATATGGACGTGCCAAAATTTAATATCATAGGAGAAAGTAATTCTTAGATTTTTTTCTAATTTGTATTAATTAAAAATAATTTTAAACACAAACACACACACACATATATAAAGTAGTAGTGGTGCTATAGTAATTGGAGGGAAATTTGCCGTCCAAAATAAGGACAAAAATGTAAATTTATGTATCATAAAAATGTAATCCGGCTAAACACTATTATTACTCATATAGGTAAATAAGGTAATGTAATTAATGCCCACTGAAAGTGAAAGTGCTAAACCTACGGTTATTACAAATTTATCAAACTTAATTTACATAATAATGTCGACCAAAATATCTTCTCAATTATTACATACTATGTACAAAGTTACCACAACTATTTTTGTTCCATACGAAGTGCTACTTTACATAGTGTAATTTTTTTAGCCTCTATTTATATCAAAAGATTCAGGATTATTACATCAAGCAAAGGGAAAATAAAACTGGCACCAATTGAAACTCCAACAACTACGACTGTAACCCTATGGTGAGAATTTGAAACGATCACCCCTGAAAGAGCAACACGAATCGCTAACCATGTAGTGGGCTTGACATAGCCAAACATGTTCCCATAGATCCAACCATACCCAATGACATAAAGAGATGCTAAAAACTCAAACAAATTGTCAAAACCAACAACGAACAAAGATGAACACAAGAAAACAAATGACAAACAGATAAAAATTACTAGGAAAACTTTCACGGACTCTAGCACCTCGTACAACCCATGGTGGTGGTTCAGGCGGAGGTCGGCCCGTCGCTCGATTGACACCCTTTTTAAGTGGCGTACCCGCCGTATGACCCAAATGCATGCCATCGAATGGAGCGCTCAGCCTCTCCACGCTGACCATGTCCCGATCATCCATACATCTCTCTCTTGCTTCTTCCACCATCTTCTCGCTGCCACGATCGTCCATCCCGAGCTACGTCCAAACCATGGCAATCCGTCGCAGTGCTGCGTCGATTGAAAGAAACGACGCACCAGGGCAGCGAAGTAAAAACCCTACGCGAGATCGGAAATTACATAGCGGCGGCTCTGCCCTAGGAGCTCTCTACTTTGCTATCAAATGAACTGGTAATAAGCTATTGTGGTAATTAATTAAATTCCATTTAATGCACAATCAAACATACATATTCCATATATCAAGCATATGGATGCAATCTTCCAAAAAAAATATGAATGCAAGTGGATCCCAAACATAGAATGGCCATACACATATTTTAGGATAGGAAATTTAATTTAATCTCTACACAAATACAAAGTAAAAAATTGCTATAATTTTTTACGCCAACGTTTCCGCTTAGAATATAAATCTCTACCACATTAGATTAGATATCAAACTTAACATATTCTCCTTTTAATAATAATAGACGAATAGTAATAATGATGTTTTCTTTTGAACTGTTTTCAGTCTCAGACGAGACCAGACCAGATCAGACCAGACTTCAATAGTTATAAATTACACAAAGACCATACATTTACTGAACAAATTTCAGTCCAAAAGAAAACATCCTAAGAGTGGGTAGCAGCAATAACAATAGTAATAATAGTAATACTAAAATATAGTCATTATTTAATTAATAAAATATATTTATATAATTTAAATATATTTTAATATATATTAATTAATCGATTAATAAAATGTCATTATTCAATTAATAAAATATACTCCGTATTATACATTTTTTAATTCAACCAATTCAACCATTTTGGCCAGAGCTTTATCAAATTCAGCAGAATCAATCGATTCGGTCAATCTCGGTATTACCATACATGCTCTAAATAGGAATAATTTTTCAAATTTTTGCTATTAAAAACAAGACACCCATTTAGATTTGATTGCTTAGTGTATTAAAATTGTATAACTTTTCGATATTTTCTTACGATAATCATTATTTTTATAATTAAGGTAGGATTTTTTCCCGCCCAATGAAAGCAATAATGGTTTTGCATATGAAACTATGATATGACATTGATTTTGAACTTTCTCAATATAGCTGACATTAACTTTGGAGACGTTGTCATGTTATCACTTCAACAAATTGAGACCATGGTGCAGTTGTTCACATTGCAAAGCGGATGAATTAAAAAGTTTCTCAACTTTGGTGTTTAAAACATGAAATGAAAATATTGAGAATGTTAGAGATGGAGATGTTTTCAGTGATATACCCGATGATATATTTATTACCACTTAGATGTCTCTGATATATTTATTACCACTTAGATGTCCCTATTACTTCAAATGTTCCTAGCATGTATCCATCATTTCTGGAGAATATGATTAATTATCATATTTTCAACAAATGTCTATTTTTGATGTTGAAAAAATGATGTTGTTGAGATTATCAATATGTATATGAATTCACTTTTGTAAGTAGAAATGAAAACATATTTGAGTTTAGATAGTCCATGTTCATTTCAAGGCAATATTGACGCGGAATTCGATATAGTGCATTTTGGAACACCATCAAAAGTTTCTGGGAAATCAAACCATAAATTTGGAATATAGGTTGAGGTTCTTATTATGCTAATGAGAAAAATGAAAAATCATCTAACTTATGTTTTGAAGACGATGGTATATCTGGCAAAAATATTGACCAAGAGATTTCAATTTCAAGGTTATCACTCGTCTAATTGAAAATCACAATTCCTTCAAACTTCAATGCAATCAATTATCAATCATCATTTCATTTTCCACGACAATAAATTTAAGCCAATTACAATCAATGCATTATAGCATATATCTACCAAAATTTGTTTTTTCGCATAGTCAATTGTACAATGTCATGTCAAGAGTCACCTCAAGAAACCAGTTGTGCATTGTCATGTCAAAGGTCACCTCAAGAAGTGAGTTGAATATATTTTTTATATGTGATTAAGAGGGTCGTGTTATCAACACTACTGATAATATGATCTATAAAGAACTTTTCAAAAAGCTATGATCCTTTTTGTTCAGTTCCAACATATATGACTATTTATTTTCGTAAAGCTTCCTTAGAGCCATCAAAGGAGATACTTAAATTGTAAAATCGTGATATTTCAAAATCAAGTAGTACTTATTATTACACCTTACATTTTATTATAAATTTACTTTCAATTTTCAGTACGACCAACATGCATTTTCCTTTTACTTACAAAATGCCATTATATAATCAAAGTCACAACAGTCAACATATAACCTCTACTATATGTTTTCATTTAAAATAATTTTATATTACCAACCATAATAATAAAAGTTTAGTGTAAACAACTTATAATACTTTTCTTACCCATACATCGCACGAGTATTACGTCTAGTAATAATTCAAAGTTTCAGTTGAAACAGGCTTGAACACAGACCAGATTGAGAAGCTTCAGCAGTGCTGGGTATTTAAATGTTTTCTGCCCATATTCCTTCGGTGGGCTATTTACAAACTTATGGCCCAAGTAGAACTTCACATCCACTATCCAAACCTGCAATTTGCCTCCTTGGGATACTTCTATCTGATTACCTCTCCCAGCGAAAACAGAAAAAATGGGTACAGAGAAGAAGAAACACAGAAGAAGCTCGGAACATTATTCTTCGCAAGAAGGTCCTTCCCTCTCACGTCTTTTCCTTCCGCAATGTTTGGTGGTTTCGATTTATAATTTAAAAATTCGTGTACTATTTTTGCGATGTGAACAGATGAAGTGAAAAGCAAACGGCATAAAAGAGAAGAAGGCGATAAAGAGGAAAGAAGAGAAAAGAAGAAAGGCAGTTCCAGAAAGGAGAAATCTCATACGTCTTCAAAACACCGTTCTGATAAAGGTATAGTTTATACCTCCTTTTTGTGAGGTGGATATCATTTACTCATTTAGGTCTTATTTGAACGCATATTTGTTTTCACAGTGTTTTATATTTGAATTATAAGCTGAAATAATCTGATTTATGCAGCATAGTGCATGTCTTATATTTTTCTTTTCTACAATTGGAAATTGCAATTACAATTTGTTACCTGTCATCATCCATAGACCATAAATTGCATAGAGATGATTATGATAGGTGGACAGGTAAGATTATTTATAATGTAGCAAGTGATACTATTTAAAACTGCAAAGTGAAATGAATTCTTGAGACTGAAATAGAGTCCTGGGTAATCAACTATTGCTATGCATAGAAAATTTGAACCAAAGTGATACATAAGCAAAGGAGATTGGCTTCGTTTGGAATATAGTGCTCTTTGGCAGCGAAGGTTGACTTACCTGCAGCTTTAGCTGTATCCATTGCGTGAATGCCTTCATACGCTGATGGTATTAAGTTATTAACCCTTGCTTGGTTTAGGCGTACACAGTCTCCTCAGCTCTGCTATTCTTTTATTTTTCTTCAGAGTCCATCTTTGTCCATTGTTATTTACAGTTATACAGTTATAATCCCTCCGTCCCAAACTCTGTCGCAAAAACCAAATCTGATCATGATAAAAAAAATTGATACGTACTATCAGTGAATAAAAATGAATTGATTTGACTGATGAATCCTAAAATTACAACATGATATTGGACAGACCGACAGAGATAGTGTATCTCTGAAGTCTGTAATGAATTATTATTTCTAAAATTTATATGGGCAGAAATTGTGTAAGATAATTTTCATGTTATGATTTAATCTAATTTTTTCATAATTAATGGTCCTAGGTAACTAATTTTGACCCCGAAAGTTGAAACAAGAACTTTAAGTACGGATAGAAGGAGTTTATGTATATACTTCCTCTGTTCGGTTTTAAGTGCAACATGCACTTAGGCACAGAATTTAAGTAGCAATGAAAAAGGGTTGAACTTGACACTTTTACTCTTCATTATACGGAACTCACAGCTGCCCAAATAAGTGCTATAGTTTGTAATATTGCACAAAAGCATTACATCCAAGAAAGCAAACAGTACGTAAGCACCATTGTACTCCTCAATTATGCAGTATACTTGCGAGGTCCAAAAAAAATAGGAATAAGAGCACGAGGGTCGGTGCTGAGAAACGATAGGTAAGATGATTTTCGCAGCCTACTTTCCCTTTTAGAAATGGTCCATCGAAGTACATGTAACTCTTCAAGTTCTGAAATGGACCGTCAAAGCCGGTTACAAACAATTCCAAGTGGAATCAGATTCCCTGGCCTCTCGTAATCAACTCAAGCATCAACTCCAAGTCTCAAGCATATTCTCTTAACGGGAGCAAAAATCAGTTTCATCTACATCCATTTCGGCGGTAATTAAAATACAAATCGGAGGAAAAAATCAAAGATGAAGATGATAGGGAAAGAAATAGAGAAATGGCTTAGTAGGTGATGAAAGTCGATGATGTTGGGAAGATGAAAGTAGATTTTGGTGGGATGGGCAAATGAAGAGATACAGAAATGGAAGACCAAGAAGCTGTACGCAGATGAAATTGGTAGGAGGCGGTGGTGGAATGAAATTGGTGGGAGGCAGTAGGTGGAGAAAGTAAAAATTGGTGGAGACGGAAGAGTGTAAATAATTAAGGGTATAAAAGTCAATTTACGTAGTATTTCCTTCCTAAAATAGAAAGTTTGTATTTAATTTGAAACTGCCAAAAAAGGAAAGTGTTGCACTTATTCAAGAATAGAGGAAGTATATGTAATGTGTGTGCAATCACACACACATGCATACACACACACACATATATAGAGAGAGTAGTGTCTTGTCTCTCACACACATATATGTATGTGGGGTTAGAAAATTTCATATTTTTGTCCTATGGTTCACATTTGTAATTTGTGTAAATTTTATTACTCTGTAGAACTGATGTTGTATGACATGAAAGAAGTCTTATTCGTGCTGTGGTATTATTTCAGAGAAGTCGGGAGAAAAGCATAAGAGTAAAAGCCACAAGCATAAGGGTTCCTCTGTGAGTTCTCTTTTTAGGCTTATCATTACAAAAGTTCCTATTCTTAATCCAGTTTGCAGTTCAAATGAAAAAAAAAACAATCCTTATATCTTACACACTTCATTTTGTCCCAAAGCGAAGCTATTTTTTTCCTTAGATATTAAATACATAGTTGTCCTCAGGAGTCCTCCTAACAAAGAGAAACCTTTACTTGCTCCTGGCCTGCTGCCCTATCAAAGAGTACTGATGCTTACCACTGTTGGAGTGATAATGCTACTTTATCCATCCCACAATGTACGATACATTTGGGGTTGGTGTCGGTTTTAAGAAAATAAAATATATAGTTGTCTACTCACCATTCTAAGTTTCTAGCCTCCAAAAAGTAAAAAAAGAAGAAGTACGAGTCCACAAAAAGTAAAAAGCTTAAATGATATACAGGGTTAAAGGGTGAAAGTTGACTTTTAGTGAAGTTCAATTAAGGAAAGTGTTCATATATGGGACAACCCAAAAAGTAGTGCAGCTTACAAAGTAGGACAAGTAATTACTTCGCCTGGTATTTATTGTTTGTCCTCTATTACTTTTTGTGAAGTTTTTATTAAAAACTCCATTTGCGTTGAAACTTTGGTTACAGCGAGGCCTGTATGCAGCCTTAACAATTTCAGTTATTGTAGTTTCTTATTTCTGTTTGCCCTTTTCTTCTTGAACACTTTCAGAAGTTAAAATTTGAAGAACTGTCAAAGGATGACTATTTCTTAAAGAACAACGAATTTGCAAGCTGGCTGAAGGAAAAGAAGAATATGTTTTTCATGGATTTGTCATCTGAGGCTGCTCATGAATTATTCATGGACTTTGTCAAGGAATGGAACAAGGGAAAGCTTGCAAGTGAATACTATGAGGGCATACTGACCGGCCCTCGATCATCTCATAACTGGAACATCAAGCAGTAATCCATGCAATGCACATTGCTTTAAGCCGGGATGAGTTCCACCGTTGTGACTCATCCACACGTTTTCATTGCTGCTTAGTGTGGATGAGCATGGCTTTTAAACTGAGTTTTTTTTACCGACGGTGTAGTTATGCGTGGAAATCTTGAATATACATAGTATATAAATGCAGCAGTGTACCTCAAATAGGGCTTTCATTAGAACCAAACCAGCCGAATCCTTAGATGGTTTAGGATTGTCCACTTGATTTCATTAGTTTGTGATTGTCCACTTGATTTCATTAGTTTGTGATTGTCCACTTGATTTCATTAGCAGATGTCAAGACTGTGTAAAGTGGAGATTTTCACATGTCTTCCAATCCACCATTGTTCGGCTACCCACCTCGATTGTCCACTTAATTTCATACTTGATCTCACATTTTTTCTCAATAAATCACACACAATTCGCTTAATACATGTCTAGTTTATTAATGTATATGTATTATGTAGTAGTCATTGGTACGCATGTTCATCGGATATAGACATAAAGTAATAATTTGGAGTGGATAAAATTTGGCCATATACAAAAAAGAACAAGAGTGAATAAATGTGATCTGCATTTCATTTTATAAGCAAACAATATACTACTCGTAATAAAAAGAAATCACGGAGGTTTTTAAACAATATAGTATGTGAATAAGAGTTCTAACAAAACAAATACGGAGTGTATGAATTGCGTTATCATTTAGTAAACGAGTAGACTTTTATTTAAAAGAGGAGGGTAAATAAAAAATGAATAAACGATGTAATATGTGGGCAAGGCTTCTCACAAAAAGTAGAAAATCAGTTGCTCTCGTTGAGAGTCGAACTCAAGACCTCCCGCTTACTAAACGGGTGCTCTAACCAACTGAGCTACGAGAGCTGTTGATTGAAGTTTCACGTATTTCGGTAATGTATAAATCATCGTCCCTCCACCGGCTGACGAAGGACAAAAAAGGAAAACGAAAAAAAGCTTGCAAAGCCCTCAACCTGGCCGCGGCAATAATCGCATCCCCGGTTTTTCTGTTTCATCTGCAGAAGCAAAATCTCTCTCCCTCTCTCTCTTCAAGCCATTGTTCGGACTTCGGACCTCTATCTCATCCAATCCGCTTTTCAGGTAACCGAAGCTCTGTGAATTGTATTTACTTCATTGAATGCAGAACTTTACGTTTTCGAGCAGTCGAGCCATTCTGGATGGGTACGAGCATGCACAACATTTATTCCATGCGTCGTTATTATGTATAAACTGGAGATTGTTACTGGAGATTTTGTAACTTTAATTTGGATAAACTGTCATCTGTTCGTTTGATTTGTAAGCCAGTAAATTTCTGGAAGATAGTTACCGCTGGGTTTAGTCGCTATATTTTGTTCCTTCTTAAAGCTAGATTTGCAGGACCAAATATCATGATGAATTATCAACATGAATGCCTTATACTCCTTAATTTACAATTCCGTTTGGTTAGCATTTTGTAACAGTAGTAGTATATGCATTTTTCGGTTTGCTGTAATGCTGGCTCATTAACTTCGATATGATATATCTTGTTTGCAAGGAGAGGCATGGCTGTTGTTGGTGTGAGGCCATTTGAAAGTTTTCCTGATTTTGGCGCGATCTTCATGTGCAACAAAACAACAAAGAATGAATGTTTTGGTAGTGGGATTTTTGGACTTCCCCATCCTTTTGCTAATTTTGTGAAGGAGGTCAAAGCTGGAATGCTTTTGTTTCTGTTTGAATATGAGGCGCGAAAACTATATGGAATTTTTGAGGCTACTTCTGATGGTGGAATGAATATTATACCTAAAGCATATCGTTCATCTGGGAAGTCCTTTCCTGCACAGGTACTATTAAAATATGAATCATGCATCTATGTTCTTACTTTCAACTCCTGTAACATCATCATCTCTAGATTAAGAGAGACATAAGTGCACAAATACGGTACATTATGAAGTCATAAGTATGCAAAACTTGGTTACATGATGCTTGACTGTTGCTTTCTTCAGGTTCGCTTTCGCGTTGTTTGGAAATGCTGTCCCATTCCTGAGGACTCCTTTCGTGGTGCTATTAGTGACAATTACTATGAACCTTCCAAGTTTAGCTTTGGTTTGTCCAAGGAACAGGTAAGCATTCACTTCAACTCTGACAAATGCTTGTAATGTTGTTAAAAAACTTCTGTGTACACCCTAGTCTGACCATTGAATTTGGATTTAAGTATCTAACTTGATTTGAAGATCAGTCGCTATATTGTGGGAAATGAAGTATTCTTTTTTTGTTGCTCCATATATTTTATATGAAACAGTAAAGTGAATTTGAATTGTTTCATAAATTTACATAAACCACAGCTTTTGAGTACAACTTTACTGCTTTTAAATTTTCAGGTTGAAAGACTTGTATGGCTGTTTCACTCTAGAAGGGTCAGAGTTGAAAAATCTCCAAATGTCAAGAATGTGAAAAAGGACTCCACTAAATCATCTGATAATATGGATGTTGGTTGTGCAGGTACTCTTGAAAAGACCAACTAATTTGTGACAATAGTTAATTTGTTTTTATGGTTGTTTATATGTTAAATCTCTTAAGCCTCTATCTAACACAAACAGTGTTTATTTCCTTGGAACATGTATTTACAGCTCAAATCAATCGGAATTCTTCATCAGGAATTCCAAACATTGAGTTCCACACAGTAGTGAACTGTAAAACTACTTCAACGGACTCATTGCAACTGGGCGATTACATACCCCTATCTGATTCAGAACATAGTGACCCTGAAAACTATGATTCTACAAAAATTACAAAGTCAAGTGATGGAGATGATCACAGTGACCCTGAACATTCCGAACATTTCCACAAAGTGAAGAAGTTGTACTGTGATACTGTTCAGGGAAGGCCGAGTGTGTTTTCAAGGTTGCAATTTGGAACCAGAGCTGTTTCACATGTCCAGAGTTTACATCTATTTCAACAGGAAGAAGGTGGCGGAAAGGAACCTGAGGTTCGTGGTCCTCAACCAGTGAACACATTAATGAAAAACTTGGAGAAGATGCATGAAAAGTGGATGAGGCAGGACACAAATCCAAGGCAGCAGAAGAAGAGGACTAATGTGTTTTCTCGCATTAATTTTCTTCCTCAAGTCTCTATGATGCATAACTTGGAAGCGAACAATGTCTCTTTCAGAAGTCCTGTAGAAGCAAATGTAAGTGCAAAAAAGAGAAGGCGTCAAGCTTGCATCTCAGACAATGGAGATGTTAAGAATATCACTGTAGCAATCCAAGTGGCAATTGGAAATCAGATGATTAGGTAAAGGGTTCACCCGGCCTGGTAAATGTGAAGCGAACATCTAACCTTCTGGACTGCAGCAAAGCGTTTGATGCGCCTTTTCTTGAAAATATTGGGTCAGTAGTTTTTTAGCTTTATTCTTACATCAGTTGCTTATTCAGTTTTAAAGCAGTGATATTTCTTTCTTGAGTGGCAGAGTCGCAGAGATACTTAGATCATGCTACATACCCTCTTCATGGAGATATTTCTTTACTTTGGACCCCCCCCCCCCTCCCCCGTGTGGCCGTGTTGCTGTGCATGTGTATTGTTAATGCACCAGAGATCAAGGTGGAAAAAAAAAACCAATAATCTGCAGTCAACTGACAAACCGACTCGAAACTGAAATATCAAGCCAGCCAAGCCAGCCAATCCATATGCGGATGGGTTTCAGTTTAAGGTTATGTTTTACTTACCGGCAACAAAACCTGGCAATCCATAAAAATTAACCGTACCCAGCCCCACCAAAACCTACCGAAGTTAATGGATTCATTTTTCGGTTTTGCACCATTTAAAACCAAACCGGCAAAGCTGAACCGAACCTACAAACACCATATCATAGAGGCAGGTTATCCACTATATGCTATACACTTATAGGAACTGAGTTCAAACAACATTTTGCAACTATTGTATACTACGTATTTCCCTAATGAACATAGCCTTGCGAAGCGCCATGTTACAACTTACAAGTTCATGTCTCTTTGTGCACATGAAAGGACAATTTAATCATTAATATTAGCTATGTTACAACTTACAAGTTCATGTCTCTTTGTGCACATGAAAGGACAATTTAATCATTAATATTAAATATTTTCGTTAACAATTAACACTCTTAAATGACAACTTAATCATTAAATATTAAAATTATTAAATATATAACATCATAGTGATCACCATTAACCCTATTATATTACGGAGTATATACCTATTAAAATTACCTTTCAAAATATACTCGAATTACCTTATTTACTTATTGTCTAAATAGTCATGTCTTTTGCAAAGGGAACCTTCAAATGAGACAAAGGTAGTGCGGAGTATCAATTAATATTAGTCGAACCCAAACTCTTGTGGGAGTCGTGGGACTAAGGTTTTAATGTTATTGTTGGATGCTAGTTTCGAAAATAACATTTACTAAACATAAATATAAACATGATCATAAACATGAAATAAGTATAACTGTGAATATAAAAAAGTGTAAGGATACTTATACAGAAACAAGTTAAGGTTGTCTAATACGTATGTTACGTGTATGGGTTACCATTTGTTTTTTTTAAAGGGGTTAGAATTTGTTTTGAAATGTATCATATATATTAGAATATATGGCAATGTGATCAAGTGTTGGTAGTAGTTTTTGAATATCTACCTTTGGTCTATTTTATTGTTTTTTCTCCATTTTTTTTTTTACTCTAGGGGTCTGAGGGAGGGGGCTTGGAGTAATCTAGGTTGAAACTCACTCAAGGTTTCGAACATGAGACCTCTCGTAGGGGAGAGTGAGTCGGCGACCAGCAAGGCTATTTATTCAAATATTTGAAGTTTTTTCTATATACAAGTGCGATTAAAAATGCAATCCACACAATTTAAATATTCAAATTGTGATACACGGTAATTATTGAATTATTGAATTATGTTAATTTAAACGAAAGAGTTGTTCCCACATCATCTAAAGTTATGCGGTATAATATTTTATTTATACGAGTAGAGATCTCGTGCGCACCGCCCGATGGGAACTCTAGTCTGATCATGGTCATTTGGTGTTATACTTGGTAGAAATTTTTGATAATTTTTTTTGAGTATGTTATTCATGAAATGCAGTTTATGCTCACAAAATTTCAGGTCAAAATTCAATATGGAAGGCAGTTAATTAAATTATTGAAGCATATTGTGCTTTATATATACATAAAGCATAATATGTTTCAATAATTTTTTAAATGATTTTTTGATTGAATTTTAAGTTGAAATTTTGTGTAATTAATTTACTATTGATGAAATGGTGCTCATAAAATTTATCAAAAAATTCCATCAGGTGAAAGACTCAAATGGCCTTGACCGGACTGCCTGAGGTGATCAGTTTTCTTATTTCCTACTACAACATTGCAACATTTTGTTCCTCAAGTTATTTTAAACAAAAGCTAATTGCCTAATTTGCAACACCAAGTCGCCGAACACTATGAACTGTTTTCTATTCCTTTTTTTTTTGAAAACTGTTTTCTATTCCATACTACTAAAAATCAATGTCAAACACTTCATATGCAATCACTTTGTCATATAAAGAAATTTCTGATTCTATTCTTGAGTGAGAGAATATTACTAGTAATTATTAGTAATCGGGTTATGTATAATTGTATATACCTTTTAGAAAGTAAGGGAAGAAAAAGTAAAATAGAGAGACAAGTAAAACTTAGTGGACTAAAACATGAATCAGTAAATTGACATATGTGAATGTTTTATGAGTTTGCTTACCATAAGCTATTATTTACGAGTATATCTTAATGGACTAAGATTCATATAACTTTATATGGATGTCCAAAAAAGAAAGTGAGAACATTTCAAAAGGGAGTTTTTTTCCGTATTAATGCTAATTAATTAAGTATTTACGAAAATAGGGTCGGGTTAAAAGTATTTACGGATATACTGCTTAGTTGAATTTTACGACTATCGTGTCCGCAGGTCGCCCGCGCAGGGGGGGGTGCGAATTTTCGATTCTGAACTGAAAGCCGAAATTCTTGTGTGCGCGAGAGCTTCCCTATTCTCCTTCACCTTTTAATTCTAAGAGAGGAGTGGTTCATATTTATAGGCTTCAAACTTCTCAAGGAGTTTAGGTGTGGGAAAGTTAAAGAAGCTCACTTTCCACCTTTGCTTAAAAGTGTACACTTTTCCATCTTTCTTTTTCAAGAGCAAATTTGAGCCACTTCAAACTTCAAAGTCCAAAACTCCAACACCAAAGGTCAACACTACAATCAAAGCTTCCAAGAGTCAACATTGAGATTTAAAAAAAAAATCAAGGTTAAGACTATTTTTTTCAAACTCCAAGCTACATTTCAAGGTCCAAGATAGTATTGTTTCCTATCATCTACTTCATTTCATTCACTGTTTTCAATCATTAACAAAAATTGTGTAGATCTTCATCTGGTTTCTTGTTTCCCTATACAGTGCCATTTATGGAATTATTTGACAATAGTAGGCATGCACATACATATGGTTCTCAATAATTCAATATATAAAAAGAACCTTAGATCCTACTCCTTTTGTACTGAACTCATCTTGATTTATTGTTATTTCACACATTTCAACTTAAGTAATTAGTTTTTGTTTTCAACACTGCTTGATTAACATCTCAAAATGGGGCCTAGACCAAAGTGGCAATGTTATAGCTGTGAAGATACTTTCTGGCAGATGTATGTTATCAAAGAGTTTCCTCTCCTCTTACTATTATGCTCAATTCTTGATCTTATGCTTGTAAATGATATTACTACGTTCTAATTGTGATTACATTACCTTCCGAGGCTGCTATTCTTTGTTAATCTCCCTCCCTCGTTACTGAACTAGTGAACAGCCTTAGTTTTTCAAATTCTTTTGATTTTTGATATAGCGTCTTATATCAAACTGCAAATTCTTAGACCTTGAAATGTAGCTTGGAGTTTGAAAAAAATAGTCTTAACCTTGTTTTTTTTTTAAATCTCAATGTTGACTCTTGGAAGCTTTGATTGTAGTGTTGACCTTTGGTGTTGGAGTTTTGGACTTTGAAGTTTGAAGTGGCTCAAATTTGGTGTTGACCTTGTTTTTTTTTTTTAAATCTAAATGATTTATTTAAATTTAATTTGAGTGATTCATATATGAATGCACATTGCTTTTTTTCAAAAGGAGTACGATGCAATGTCATTTTTTTTATACATAGAGGAAAAGAAATGTATGATTGTAAGGTAGATGCTATGGTACCCATAAGGTACCATACCTTTGTCTACATGGACCAATGAGAATGTAGCAGTTGAATTATTTAAATCTAAATTAAAAATGATAAAGTGATGTGGTCCAATCAAATGAATGGTAGGTACGGTACCCCATATTTTAGAAAGGTACCGGAGTTGTCGCCTTGTATTATCCACGACAACCTCTCTTTACAAGACCCAAATAATTTGTCTCGGATTTGAAATGGCACGGATTTTGGAACGGCTATTGTCTGGTCGGCCAAACCAAAACTCCGGGTCTTCACAGACCAACTTGTGTGTAAGCCCCATATCTTTTGTTGTGATCCGAATTTGGACATCCTGTATTCAGATGAGTTGTAGATCTCAAAGAGACAATTCCAAAGAAGCTTGAATGATCAATTTTGGACCATCTAGTAGAAACAATTAAATCGGTAAGCATGATTGTTTTTTGAAAAACTGTTTTTTTCGAAAAACTGCCATTTTCGAAAAACTTGTGTTTTTCTAAATGCCTGGACCATTCGTAAACCCAAGGTCCATTCAAATGAATTACAAAAATCAATGCCGACTCATAGTTTGCCAGCTTCTCCGTTTGAGTTTATAGCTCTCTCGTCTGATATTACTTGTCTCATTCTTTTTTTTTTTTTAGTATTTCTCAAAACAAATGTTACTCAGTATATTTCCTTTTTAAGGAGATATAGAGTATATGTGATCCAGACCATTTCAATTGAATCGAATCCAATTACATCTAGATTCGAGTAAGAAGGGAATCTTCTTGCTTGCATTTTATAGTACTCCGTAATACGGAGTAGAAGTAAATAAATTAACGAGCAGTTTGCAGTTAGCACATTAAACAACGAGTAGCGGACGAATGGCCGCCTCAATAATTTCCGGCCACATTTACCGGCCAATCCCTCACCGGAAATTCGAACTACCCATCGCCCCAACTATCTTCCTATCTCCTCCCAGACCCAGAAAGTACCTCAGATTCCATCACAAATTCAAAGGGGCCCTCCGGCTAAGCATGGTGGACCGAGAAGTTAGTCAGCCAAGCCCCAAACAAGACACGGCCGCCGCTAACCACATGGATGAGCTGGTAGATTTCTTGTACAAGGATCTTCCCCACCTCTTCGATGACAAAGGGATTGATCGGACGGCCTACGATGCTGCCGTCAAGTTCAGGGACCCCATCACACGGCACGACAACATTGATGGATATCTCCTTAACATTGCTGCTTTAAAATTATTGTTTAGGCCTAAGTTTTCTTTGCATTGGGTCAAACAGGTTCGCTTCCTTCCTTGTGATTGTTAAACTCGGAACTGTTCCCAAACCGATTTTGCAGTTCTCATGAACCATAATTTGGGATTGATCGATTTGGTGTAGACAGGGGGCTCTGAGATAACAACACGGTGGACTATGGGGATGAAGTTCCTTCCTCTGCCATGGCAGCCTGAGTTGGTCTTTACAGGCACTTCTGTGATGACTGTCAACCCAGAAACAAAGAAGTTCATCAGCCATGTTGTAAGAATCTTACTTTTCCCCTTCCCCCTCCCTCCTCACAGACCAGACCACTTAGCTTCTTTTAGATTACTCAGAAAGTGTTTGGTTTTCTGTAAGGATGAAAACATCACATATAGTATTTGACTCTAACAGTAGAATCACACATATTAATAGTTCTAAATATAAGACATAATAATAGAGCTCAATAACTAATACCGTTTCCCGTCGGTTCCGCCAAAAGAAGAAGCAGTACACGGTGATCTTTCTGTAAAGAAGCGGGAAAGCGCCAAGAGACATGCAACAGTTCTTGCCTAGCATGATATGAGTGCAGGGGCGGAGCTAGAGCACTAGGCCGGACTGGGCCGATACAAAGAATATTTTTTGAAAATTTTTTACACGGAATTTTTTACACTAAAAATATAGACATTTTTAAAATTTGGGCTGGGCCAGGGCCAGGGATGGCTCTCCCCTAGCTCCGCCCATGTATGAGTGGAGATTTCTGGAATGCACTCAACCGGAGTGTTCAAAAAAGGAAAAGAATAAAACTGGTTGACTTTTAGGAGGACACTATAAGAAGCTTCCGAGGGAGATGAACAATAGAAAGAATGCAGTTCTACAATGAAAAACAGTGGAAGGTTGAAAAACATGTCCATCAACGTATAAGGAGTTTCTGCATCAGGACTTGTAGAGGTGGTGGTAAGATCATGTAAACGGCAAGCAGAGTCTATCTAATGGTGAAGATAGATGTGGTAGAGACTCCTCATGTTGCATGCAGCAAATGACCAAGGTGTTTCAAGTGAGGTGATGCGAGCCATATGAAGAATGACTGCCCCATCTCAGACTAGCAGATTCTTTGGTGGCAAATAATTGGACGGGAGATGGCACGCTGCTAAACCTCAAGGAATCAGTGCCAGCAAGGAGAATCGACCAGCAATACACCATCAACCAATTAAAATCGCCTTCAAGCTCGTGTGAATGCAATGACAGGAGATGATGCAAGTTCAACCTTAAACTTTTCATTGATGTTTTTAGGTTAGTATTGTAACCAAAGTACCTTTTCATATGAGTAGGATTGTTAACAATTGCTCTACAATCTGTGGGAACAATTAAAGTTTATGGTAAGGATGCTACAGGCCTTATGATACTACAGGGACCAATTGTTCGTGAATGAGGTTTTTTCACCAATCTAAGTCAGTCCTTTGCAACCGCTAAGATAAAATATAGCTGTTTTAATACATACCTATGACATGGTATGTATTACCAAGAAGAATAGCATTAGATGTGATAGTCACTCCACTACCAATGAAGACTAGTAGAAAAGTCATAGCTGTAAAATAGGCCGTCAGACCCAATCAAATGTTTTATGAAAATGAGAAGTCACGAACCACTAAACAATACAGAAGACGGTTGAGGCATACAAACCAAGTCTAGCTTCAGACGGATCCAAATGACAGACAAATCTCCTAAGATTTTTAGGGGTGTATTTGCATCCGCTTAGCTCCTTACGTATCTGCGAGGGGCTGATATCATTAATGCATAAGTATTGATAAGATGCGTACTCGATGTACACACCATCTCACCAGAAGTATTTCTTAAACTGTAACCAGGATAATGTAAATCTTGCGAAACATAATCAATGACATCATTTACGAGATGTAACTATGTAACATACTCAGTCCTCAGGAACTTCGATCACTAGAGAAGTTTTTTTCTCTCAAGTTCTGGGAAAGTGAAGCTTAAACTCTTAAAATATACTCCTTCGTCCCACAAAATTTGGCCAAAGTTGACTTGCATGTAGATTAATAAAGTAAAAACTGTTTGATTGAAATTTGTGCAGAGGAGAGAGAAATAATTTTAGCTATATATTCCTTACTTTAAATGGGAATGACAAAGTTTTTTGGGATGGCCACAAAAGGAAATTTGACCAATTTTTATGGGAAGGATAGAGTACATAAAAACATGTAAATGTAGTATATTGACCATAAATAAATGCTGGCGAGGGTGACCGGCTGACCGCTGCCACGATCCCACCAAAACCACTAGCTTTGTCATCATTCATCATCATCATCATCACCCCAGTATCATCACCCTAGTGCCGCAAAGGCTTCCACCTACGGTGGGGTAAGGGGGGTCGAATGTACGCAATCTTACTCTTACCCCTGTACTAAAGCACAAAGAGACTGTTTCCGGATGACCCATAGTGAAAATCGCGTCGAAAGTTGCATGGACTGACTGCTGTTTCACAACAAAGAAGCGCAGACAGTGTAGTGAACCATTTTGCTTTATTTCATCATATTCCCAAGCCAAAAAATAGTGACTGTTTGGCTCCATCGCAAATGGATATTGTCATGTTGGATATAGCTGTTTTCACTGGATATTGATGTTGTAGGACTACTGGGATTCAATCGTGAATAATGATTTTTTTTCAATAGAAGGTTTGATGGATGTAGTGAAGCAGGTAAAGACCTCGCCTTCCATATTTCACAACAATAAAAATTTCTCTGTTTTTAGTGTTCTTCATCTTTTGTAATGTTAAGTGTTTACACGTTGAGCAGTTGAGGTATTACAAGACTCCGGACTTAGAAACACCTTCTTATCACATCCTAAAAAGAACTTCAAGCTACCAGGTGGGTTTTCTACATCCTCTATTGATATTTCTGACCCCCTCCCCCAAATAACATCGTAGCGGTTTTTAGGCTTGTAACAATTTCTTGACAGAGATGGTTGTGCTATGTAGGTCAGAAAGTATTATCCTTTTCTTGTTGTAGAAACGAGTGGTGACACGTTATCAGGATCAAAGGGATTCAATGATGTGGCTGGGTGAGAATTTCTAAATACAATTCATAGCCTGCTCTTTTTCATTGTTTGGAGTTAGTGATCAATCTTTATGGCACGGTGAATACTAGCTATATCTTTGGGAAGAACTCTGCATCAGAGAAAATGGCGATGACAACTCCTGTGTTTACACAGGCATTGTCTGATGAAAAATCAAAAATCTCAATCCAGATTGTTCTTCCATCATCTAAATCCATGAAAAGGTGAGATTGGTTGGAGAAACATGCATGGTTATCAATTTATAATGCTATGCTATCACACATATATACATAACATTTGAGTTTGTTGAGGTGTTTATCTCGCATTGGTTAAATATAAAATAATAATTTAAGATCCTAAGCTACTGTTCTATTCCACTCTTAAGATGAAACCCCAAATCATATTCATGGTTTGATCTTAATATGTCTTGTAACTTTGTTTGTTTGGCCCTTCTAGTTTGGAAGGGAAACTATTAATTTTAGTGTTCTAACTTTGTTAATGTTTGTGTAGTTCTAAATTGTTCTTACTTTATTCTTACTTTATCAATTCAATATCAACCACATATACTCACTTTTTGTGATAATCGCACCACCTCCCCATGTATCAAACTTAGCGGGACCTAGGTAGTACTACTTTTATTTAATTTTATTTATTTATTTTATGTTACTCCCTCTGTCCCATTTTGATTCTCTTATTTTCCTTTTTGGGTTGTCCCAAAACGATGTCATGATTCCTTTTTTGGCAAGAAATATGTGGTTCATATCATTTCACTTTTTTCTACTCAAATTTCTACCACAACTTTTACTTTTCAACCATTTTACTAATAATCGTGCCAAACTAAACAAGACATCCTATATGGGACGAAGGCAGTATTACGTTTTTCTTTTTACTCTTTTTAATTTCATTATTTATTTGAAAATTCTGAACAGTTTACCGACTCCAAATGAAGGAGTAAAATTAAGGGAAATTGAAGGGGGGATTGCAGCCGTGTCGATTTTCAGTGGGAAACCAACAGAGAATATTGTTAAAGAGAAGGAGGGAAGTCTGAGGAGTAGACTTACCAGGAGCGGTCTCAAACCTAAACCAGGGTGCTTGCTAGCTCGCTACAATGATCCTGATCGAACTTGGGAACACATAATGGTATTAATTCCACATATACTTGTTATTTGACATTTCAAATTACACTCCCACTTAAAGTTTTGAGAAAATGACATTCTTTGGCACAAACAGGCTTTAAAGGTGTCAGTTTGCTACCATAAGTGGCAGTATAGTATTTTCCAAACTTGACGGGTAATTATACCTATTAATAAGGGAATAAAAACGTAATACTCCCACTTTGGAATTTTCAAACATTTGTACCCCTATTTAGGGCAATTTCTTTATAGTTTTTTTTCTTTTAATTTCTTCAATCTAGACTGGGTAATCTAGTTGTGCACTATCATAGCACCCCTAATACTTGCTTTAGTGATAAATGCAGATTGATGTGTCACAAATAAACTGTAGGATAACATGATGCTCAATATTAATTCTCAGGTTGTAATATGCACGGTTATAGGACATACCAACAGTAGCCTAGTTACTCCTCTGTAGCAAGGCAACTAACTTAGGCATTGTTTGTATCAAAATATCAAATAGAGAATGAAAGGAAAAAGAGTGTGAAATGGAAAGAAAGAAATCGGTGAAAAAATAGTATAGTTTCATTGCCTGACATGAGAGACATAGAAAAGAAAGGTTTTCATAATGGAAAAAATGGCAAAAATACCCACAATAACCTCTGTTAAGACTTGAGAGGTTAGAGGAGAGCGGGTATAAATTAAATTATTAAAACAAAAATAAAGTGTTATTTCCCTCAATTTCTTTTCTCAAAAGGGAAGAAAGTAAAATGCATGTCCCTCCCACATTGTTATTTTTTCTATTACTCTCTAACATAACAAAGCATTAGCGCTATTTCATTTAAAGGAAATAGCATATTTTTAAATACTTGGCTGCTCGTATTTTTAAGATGGAACCATTATTTTTCAAACAGGGATCTCGATCTGATTATGAGTTAACAATGAGCACAATGACTTCAAAATCACTTCTTTGATTAGGTTGACTTCTTAGGATAAAATATAAGACTTAATATTAGATATCTCTTGTACATTGGAATAGACTTGCCCATTCTATTTATGTGTTAAAATAAATAAATAATCTTATACAAAGTTGCGTTTTTCACCTTGGTTGTAAGCTGCCCTGAACTGTAAAACCTGTTTCAATTTCTGTCTTGATTGAAGAGGAATGAGGTGCTGATATGGCTGGAAGACTTTTCAATGGATTGATGCTTTGGAGATTCTAGCACCTAGCAGCTGGAATGTCCAACTGAATGTAGAGGAGAAGCAGTAGCAGACACTTTGGATATAAATTTTTCCGCAAGGGTAGCCAAGTCAGCAAGGCAGCGAATTCGATGACCTCATTGACCATGTTCAATTTCTGCAAGGTCTGCCTATGACATTCTTGGTTGAGCCGGTCATCATATAGGTTGATTTATCATTTAAATCCTTCATTTGCCGGTTAGGGCCAAGATTAAAACCATGCAGAATTCCAATTGTATATGTTTTTTATGTCCCAAGAGGTGTATTTAGTTGTACAATAGGTATATTGTACATCTGGTTTTTTATTCTACTATGCAGTATGCACATGGACACATGGTACATCCAAATGATGAAATGAACATTGCTCTAATAAGAAATGAGCATTTTTATATTGAAATGAGTATGGTATTGTATGATAAATGAGGGAAAAAATTGTAACTTTAATAGAGTGAGCAGCTTGTAGTTGCAGAAAATTACAAATCACTATGTAAAATGACATTCGTATGTACCATATAACTGTTAAAATGAACTTGAAGATCCTTTTTCCCGAGAGAAACGATTATGATTGATCAGTTCACTTCTTGACTATGACTTGAATTGTAGAAAATAGCCATGTCTCCACTTTATTACTCCCTCCGTCCTTTATACATTTGTCAAGTTTGATCAGCAACATGGAATGATAAAATAGAAATGATAAAATAACACGTGTATGTTTGAGTTTTGACTTCTGAAAAGAGAAGTGAGAATTAAGAGAAATCACTAATTAATTGATTAAAACAAACTAACTTTTTTTACAAAGTTATAGGAGATGGAGAGGGTATTGTTTATCATTAACGACTTGATTGTGAAAATGTGAATACTTTTGAATCAGATCTCTAATTTTAGAAAGAAAGAAAATCACACTTTTTAGACTAGATGTAGTTTAGATTTTACCATTACTTTTGTTCAGTTTATACAGTACTGTGATGGGCATAATATGCCAATTCAGTAGTACTAAGTTCGACTATATTTTATTGGTTTGTGTATTAACAAAGTAAATTGTTTTCTTGGGCAGTAATAATAAAATAAATTCTAAAAAACATATTTAAATTTGCCTCGACAAACTTCTAAATTAAAATTTATTTTGAAATTTTTACTAGTATTTATTCAAATATATTGATAATCAAAGTCATGTTTTTAATTATAAGCATGAAATTTAAATTATTGCATGATAATTTTCGGTGATGTAGAAATAATATTATTATTAAGAACAAAGCAATATACAAATATAATTCTTATACAGATATCATGTAAAAAATCGCAAATCTTATAAAAAAGTCTAATTCTAATTTTTTTATCATTAAAAGAAGTAGAATAAATTTCAAATACCTTTTGTCTATGTTCTTCCCAGACTCTTAACGGAACATGTAAGATCCTCACTATGGAAGGTCAAGTTAGATTAAAAAAAAGTGACGGGGGTTGACCCTCACTATGGAATAGGCTTGGACCATGTTCGGGCCGCCCGGCCCGGTCCTTCGATCCGGTACTGGGCTTGTACCCGAACCGGTGGGTAAAGCGGGGGCGGGCTTGGGTAGGTGAAATGGTGACCCGGCCCGGCCGGGCCCGGTGCGGGCCAAAATGTTTTTTTTTTCAATTTTTTTTTGTTTCCCCCGGGTTAGGCGGGGTGTTTTGGGGGGTGGGGGTGGGGGGGTCAGGGGGTAGTTAGGAAAGCAAAAAAAGGGAGCCGAGGCCCGGTGGAAACCCGGGCCGGTCCCGGGCCTTCCCCCAACCATAAACCGGCCTGCCCGGGCCTAGGCCTGAGCCGAACCCGACCCGGCCCGAGTCCAATACTACTATGGAAGACCACAAAGTGATCGATTAAGGGTCTGTTTGCAACAGCTTCTGCTTTTAAAAAAGTGCTTTTTTAAATGAAATGGGAAAAAATGATTAAATAAAAGTTGATAGTGTTTGAGAAAAAAGTGATTTTGAAAAGTAAAAGTGGGTAGTGTTTGGTAAAATAAGTGCTTTTTGTGTAATAGAAAAAGTAAAAGCACTTTTGACGCGGAAGCCGAGAAAAATAAAAGTTGTAGTGTTTGGGAAAATAAGTGCTTTTTTAAAGCCAAAAGCTGAGAAGTGCTTTTTTAAAAGCAGTTGCAAACCAACCCTAAGTTGGTCGGTCAAAAATGGGATCTGTCATTTTTTTTCTAGTCAAGTGGCTTTTGTCGATTTGTTGAAAGGGAGTATGGGTGGAACAATAATTGAAAGAGAGTCTCGGCCAAGAGGAATTCTCCTCCCAAATTTCCAATCAAGGTAGCCACCAACCCATCAACTACCCCCAATTCTCTAATTTAACTTCTTATGCATTAAATTTAAGGTGAGAACTTCGGTACTCATTTAAAAAATGGGGTACCGTACATACCATTCACTTGATTGGTCCAAATAAGTTTATCATTTTTAATTTAGACTTAAATAATTCAACTGAAATAAATCAATCATATTGTTCAATAACCCAGTCTCTTTTGTTTCTGAGTGACTTAGAATCTATTAACATACATGCATGTTGAAACTTAGAGCAGAATAGCACATAAAATCAAATTGCTACATGCTCTGATATACATTTTGAAGTTGATAAAGCAAAGTACATTCTATACCCCACAACTGTTTTTCCTTTAGACCTAGTCATTGTCTGATCTACAAAAGCTTTTTCTTCGTTCGGATTCCTTACTTTTTTATTGACCGGAATGCTTTGTTTTCCTTTTGCAAGTGGATGTACTTCAGTAATGAAGTTTGGTGGAACTTTGTCTGATGAAACTTGTTCGAAGACGAAATTGCAGAGAGAAAGTTTCTCATCAAATGTATTTTCGGAATTTCAAAAGACACGAATGAGTAATATTGGGGGGAGTGAAGCGAATCATCGCTCGAGGGAGAACAGACGCGCCGCTTATTGGCTTGCTCGTTTTTCATTAAAATGTGTGAAATAGTGTCGTTTTGGGACATGAGCATGATGCTTATGGTGGGCCGGTACCACCATATGCGAACTGTTGCATTTGTGTTTCTCTAGTTCTCCTTCGGTCCTTCCTATACACGTAGACACACTTAGTTAAATATTGCTTCTTTGAACCGTGGTTAATGTCTTAATGAAAATCGACAATGCAAGACAACTTATAAAACGCCATACCAATTGGCGGCTTTGTAATTAAAATATATGTCACCACATGTGTCTGTGAATATCTAGAAAATAGAATGAAAAAAATACATTTATCATACTTCCTCCGTTCCTTTTTAACTACAACAGTCAACATTTTACGTTTGCCAATGTACAAGTTTGACCATTAATATTTTTAATTCCTTATTAGTAAAAAATTTAAAAAATTCATATTCTGAAACTTTAGAATGAGAAGAATTTAACAATATTTTTTTAAAAATTTTAATTTATAATACATTAATAAATAAAATATAGTCAAAGTAGAATATGTGAATAGTGCAAAAAGTCCAATATTGCAATTAAAAGAGAATGGAGGTAGTACTAAGTAATTATCACTTCATTGTAGTAGTGTATAATTTACTCTCTTTTTTACATTGTAGCTGGTTGTCATCTCATTTGTCACCAAATTAATGTACAAATTACCCTTGAATATAGAATAAAGAGATTAATTTACATTCTTGTTAGTAATATTAAATTATACGTAGTAATTAATGTTTCAAGATAGATGGAAATTACATATAACTAATAAATATAAAATCTGAACTAACATAATTAAATACTCCATCCGTCCCAAAAACAACTTCACAGTTTGACAATCACACAGATTAAGAAAATAAATTTGACTTTACTGTTGGGTCCATTGTTTTGCACTGTTCAAACACTGTTTGACACTGTTTGAACATTGTTTGAACACTGTTTGACACTGTTTTGATATAGATAATTTGCCAAATGAGGAAAGTATTAAAGTGTGAAGTTAATTTAGGGACATCCATTTAAATTCAGGACCCGAAAGTTAGATTAATTATCAATTCAGGACCCGAAAGATGAAACGTATCGGTATAGGACCCGAATGATGGAAAACTATCAATTTAGGACCTAATATTTCATATATTTTGATTTATTTAATTTTTTATTAAATCCATTACTAATTTTTGATAAACTTTTTTTCACAAAAGTTTATTAGTTTAATAAAACTAATTAGTATTTAATTTTTTTAAAATAATAATAATAATAATAAAATTCATGACAACTTAGGTCCTAGATTGATAGTTTCCAATCATTCAGGTCCTAAATTGATAGTTTTTCATCATCTGGGTCCTATATCGATACGTTTCATCTTTCGGGTCCTAACTTGATAATTAATCTATCTTTCGGGTCCTGAATTGATAAAATTCCAAGGAAGGAAGGAAAGTGAGAAGTTATTTTTGGAACGGAAGTAGTATCAATCAGGAAGTATTACAATAAGGAGAATAAGTAAGTTGAAACTTGAAAATAGCTATTTTTAATATTATTTTTCTTCTTTTTAATAAAATATATTTTAAATATAGTTTTTTTCATAATTCAACTTATTCAATCACTTCGATCAATATCTATCTATATATAAAAACGAGTGAAATTTTTGGTCATTTTCAAGCTCAAAACAGTCCCATCACAATGCCAGATAAAATGACAATTTTACAATATCACAATGTCATATTTTTAATAATTACATTGTTAGTAAATTATGTTAACATTGTCACTTTTTGTGACTTGCTATTTTGTGTTTTTTACTCGATGATATTATTTTTCAAGCAATGATATCATTACATTGTCATATAATGACATTGTATGTTACATTATCATACAATGACATTATAATACATTGTGAATAATGTTTTTCCATATCAATAATGTCACTTTGTATAACATTATATTCATGTTTTCAACAATGTTAACTAGCTACATTATTTATAGCTCTACTTAAGGCATTTTAATAATGTGGTCTTTCTCTAGGGCTAGCCGCCGCTAGAGGTTCGTACTTCCGTTTTTTATTCCGATCGAAGAACGGCTCGGGCTTTGGTCAATCCAGCAATTGTTATCGCGAGGTTCGGCAGGGTGCTCTTGGTACGGGTGTGAGGTTCGTAGGGCTCTGGTTGCTCGGCGTTTCTTGCTTTGGGTTTCGGCCGAGAAGGAGAGGAAGACACGAAGCAGGGAGGGTTTTGCCGATGGATGACATAGTCAACAACTACAAGAAGATGGCTATTGGAGAGGAAGACAATGAACTCGATGTTGATGAGGAAGAAGCAGGGGAGATGGATGTTGCCGATGAGAAATTGGTGTTCTCGATGGTCGGTGTTGTGATTACGGACCGGAAATCAAGCTTCCGGTGTTCCAAGATCTATTGGCTTCAATTTGGCGTCCCGGAAAAGGAGTTGCAATCAAGGAAATTGGAGATAAAAGATACCTTTTCAATTTCTATC